CTTGATCTACAGCATGCAGTGTATTCGTATGCCTGCATCCGGCGGGGGTTTTGATTCGAACCTCATGTGTTGGTGGCGGTTACATGTGCTCTCGCGCACGATAACGTAGCAAGCTCCCCCGCCCCGACCTGGTTATTGCTGCCTACGGCGCAATGCTTTTTATTTATGCATTGTCGAGACCAATAGGAGCGTATCACCTGTAGCGTATCACCTGTACGTGGCTGTTTTCGTTTTTATTTAGTTGTCGCCACAGAAGGAAATAATAAGGAAGGGATGGTATTATTAGTCATGCGGTAAGGCAACCGCGACTACTGCTGTACAACCAAACCATGGTGGTAACGTCAGCCCTCATTTTTTGGAATATGCTTTGCGGCCTTGTTACAATGTGTGGGTTACAATAGTCGTCCCACGGATAGAGACGAGACAGACAAAGAGAGAGAGAGAGAGAGAGAGAGAGAGAGAGAGAGAGATAAATTGGCTCTGTGTGAGACATTGTGATAGCAACTCGACGAGTATCGTCGCGTTGCCTGTCTGAAGCTTTCCAGTTTTTTAGCGGTTAATAAAGTCGAGGGCGCACACCGCGACACGCTCGCACACCGAGCACGACAAAGAGTTCTGTACACAAGAGTAGATGACATAAGATGTCACACCCCCTGAACATTTTTTTTTAATGTTCAAACGTGGACTAACATTATTAGCTGTGAATATCGATGATGCGATATATTTTGTTACCTCCTGCCGGTACATGCCATGCATAGGAACAAGGAGCACCCTCCATACTCCAAGTTCTTGTATTTATTTAGTAGTTGAAGAAACCTCTCATTACTCATCCATGATGAAGTCGTTTCATACACGAATACTTCATAAGTGCTGCAAAAACTATCCATGGACGAACCCAGCAGTTCCGTTGTTGTTGTGTTCAAAATTAATTACACTCCCGTTCGTTCTGCTCTCTCTACCCTTTACCTTCTACCTTCTTCGTCTGTTCGGTACTATTATGTATGATAGTCTTGACACTTCACGCGGTCGATTCCCGCCGTGGTCACAGGCTACCTTACCCCAAAAAAAAAAAACATACACGAAAATAATATTGACCCGAAGAAGGTTCCGCAAATCAACGACAGATTAGTCTAGGACCCTCAGCTCGCTTCAAACGCTTGCGAGGTAGTAACCATAGACTGGGCAATAAAGCAAGAAAAGCAAAAGAAAAATAGAGGCGACCTCACGCGCACCCGAAAAAACCGTCAGTCTTCGACCGGCACTTCTCACTACGCCCATCCATGCGCATGCACTTTTTGGTGCCGAGGGACTCCATGCTTTCAAGAATGCCGCCAATCATCTCGTTGATCTTTTTCTGTCGTTTACATACATGTAGTACGCACGTCACACCCACCCGAATGAAAAGGAGACCACGCCAGAACGCGCTCTCCGCACGCTGGGAAAGAATCCGGTACTACAATTGTATATGAATGCGGAACCCAGAAGATGCGTAGTACGCGTTCCCCGTCATGGACATTTAATTAGAGTCGTATTGTGGTAGTGTAGTGGCAGGAACCTCTCTCTGCGATCAGGTCAGAAGGCCACCAGTCCCCGGGGCTTTTCTGTTGCACCCACCCATGGACGGACGCAGCAGTAGTAGCGCATGTCCTGTAGGAGATAACGAAGTACGTTCTGCTGAAAATATTGGAGACCACGAATCCTACCGACAGGTGGGTCGTGGGTGGGCGGGGGACCCTAAGAAACAGCACGACTCAGCCAGTTTACATGTTTACATCCTTACAGTTTCTTGCAAGCAAGAACGAAGGACGATAAAAAAAGAGAGACCGCCAGCGACAGTAAACGAAGAAGTAGAGGAGAGCAGAGCTAAGAAACAAGAGAAGAAACAAGCCCCCCTTGCAGCTCTGACCCACCGGAAGCTTTCCATGTACCGCAGCAAACAGCAGGGGCAGCACCCACCACCTCACAACATGCAGTACCCGGGTACACGGACTGGTACGTATTGTAGTACTGTAGAAGTTTAGTCTTTTTCTCCGGCAAGAACAAAACGCCCGGGCGAACTTAAACTTGTAGTCACAAGAAATAGCGTCATGATCACGTATTCATTCTGCTTGCCGTGGGAGATGCGCATCGTTACGCGGGGAAGGCGTTAACTCCTCGCACAGAATATGCTGCCGTAGACCCTATCCCTCAAGCTCAACCACAGCTACACCCGAAACATGGTACCATCATATCCAGCTGTAGAAGAATCGACAAAAAAACTGTTTGACGTCGGTCTTATCCGCCGCAGGAGGTTGAAGCTATACTCAAAGTCGGGAAGGGGTCCTGACTTAGAATTTCCTGCGGGACCGTAGTTGAGGCGCCATGAGATTTGCACTGCCGTAGCCGAGGTTATTGTAGTCGGCAAGAAAACACAAAAAACAAAATTCATGGATTGGTTGGGTGAGTGGGGGGACCCCAAAACAATGAAACAGTCGCGGTTCGCGTTGTTCTGTAGCCCTACCGGCGAAAAACACCGTCGCCGCGCTGAACCGCTGGAAGCTGTCACACAGCACTGCATGTGCGGCGAACCGTAGGGGCAATGCGCATTGCTTGACGGAAAGAGGCGGCGCCCATCGCCTCACATGCAGCAACCGGCTACACGGGTAGCCTCCTACTCAGCAAGATGCAAAACGATTGCCGTTGACGTTCGATGTTATTGGGACCCTAACGGCGAAAATGCAACAGTGAGAGAGAGGTAGACTAAAGGAAGGGAGACTCGAGAAGACAAGGCATGAACTCTCGAGAAGACACCCACTCTCATCCCTCTGGCCCACTGCAGGCTTGAACACGTGTAACGAACGGCAACATCCGATGTGCGCTCAGCAACAACAAACACGACAAAATAAAAGTAGTCGTCGTTCCCGAAGTGCTGTGGAGATAGTGTAAGTTGGTGGAGACTTTCTTTCTTTTCTGGTATGAAGTGGCAACAAAGAAGAACACGACTATCTGTGTAGACTAGAAGCACGACGGACGAAGTATTTTCTCAATGCGCTTGCCGTCGCGATAGATGCGCACCGCTACCGCCATACGGACGAGCAGACTGTTGTCAAACCTGACTACGATAACGGCACGACCATTGCAGCACATTCCGAGCATAACCGCAGCAACCGCAGCAGCAGCCGCATGTGTACAATCGTCGCTCAACAACAAACGCAAAAAATAAATAAAAAAAAGATGTGGCACGCAGCGCGCAGGACCCTTTTTCGCTGTTCAACCGGCCGTTTCCAGTCGTTGATTCCTATTGACTTGCGGACCCCTCGGGGCCAGTTTGTTTGAGCGTACATTTTTAGGGTAAATTAGCCTGTGACCACGGGAATCGACCGCGTCAAGTGTTGGATCAGTACGGACATATGAAGGTACTGGGTAGAGAGAGATCGGACCGGTTTTTAATGTGAAGACAACAACAACAACAACAACATCAATGGCGAAACAGGCAAGGAGCAGTCAAGGTCGACTCTTGCCGGCCACAGGAGGCGGAAGCTGCTCAAACTCGGGGACGGCTCATGATTTGCGATTCCACACCGAACCATACTCGAGGCGCCACGAGATTTTCACTGTAGCTCGAGATGAGCATTTTAGACCGGGCCGGGCAAGGGGTGGGGCATGCGCATGAAACTTCCACGGATATTGAACGATGAGACTGAAGCTAAAGCTTCAGAACTCACGATTCCAGATGGCAAGCAAGAGTCAGAAACACTGAGCGGAAAAGGCAGAGGGGATTCCGAACAGAACCGGATTTGTTCCCCAACCCCTTCTTGTGTATTTTTTTTATTTTCTTAGTTTGACCCAACGAATCCATCTCTATCTAAGAAAAGCGTCAAAGACAGATTGGCAATGGATCTATAGCGTCAGCGAAAGCTACCTGTCTTTCCACGATTTCCCGAGCAGCACACAGCGATATCTCCCCTATATGGGTAACAGGCTCTCAACAAGACTGTACTTTTCTTAGTAAAAAACGCAACAAATATTCATCTCCTCGCTGAGATTTTTCTCAACAAAAAACGCTTCTTACTAAAAAACAATAAAAATATTCATCTCCTCGTTAAGATTTTACTTTATAAAAAACGCATCTTATTAAAAAACAAAGCAAATTTTCATCTCCCCGTTGAGATGAGAGTCCGTCTCCACTGGTAGCATGGTGGATTGATTATTCATTTAGCTTGAATTCACCGCGGTGTACGTAGCGCCCACCAACCTGTGTACAGCAGTATCGTGTGTCTTGGATTCCCCAACGGATACCTCCTTCGGCTCAATTCGGCTTCGTTATTTTTTCTCGGCTGCGGTTGATTTTATCGTCGAAGACACTGCCCGTCGAAGCACAGCAGTATCAAGTAGTTTGGAGTCCTTTTCTTTTTTTGTTCCTTTCAAGAACACGTTTACTTCGAAGTTTTAGCGGCTTTCGTTACCAGGTGGAGGTGCTACACTGAGAAAACGGATAAACGGGCTGGGGCTAAGGCCGGGTCTATCCCCCCGGCTACTATGCATAAAAGCGTGCGTGTATGATAGTGATTGCCAAGTTTGTTTGGAGGATGTTTCTAGAAGCCGGCGCTCCGCTCTCTTGCAAGTTTTGCAATCCGGTAGTCTTCGTGCCCGGAGAGGCAAGCTACAACCGCAAACGTTATACGCTTCATGCGGCCGGCAGCACTACTACTGTGTGATGCGATGCCGATGGGAGAGTAAGTCAAGTGCTTGTTGCCCCGTGTTACTCTTGCCCTCCGCGTGCCCCCTCTCGTTTGCCAACTTCCCCGATTGCTTGCTTTATCCAACATGTCTCTGCTGAATAGAAAACGCTTTTGAGGGCTACTGGTCAGTGCTTTTATCGTGTGTTCTTTCTGTTGGGTAGTCTTACGTTCATCCTTTGCTCATGTATTCGTACTTCTCTTTTGTTTTATTGTGGTTCTCCCCCCCCCCCCCCTCCTGCGACAGGTGCACACAAGAGCAGTTCGAGCGTCGCGGGCGCCATGAGTGATATGGTGGCAAAGGACAAGCTTTTGGCCCTCGTCAGCTCGGCACAGGTGTGCGTTCGTTGTTCTTGTCTCTCTCCCAGACCGTACATTGTAGTGCCCTTGGTACGAGTAATAGTGGGCTCTCAACAACTCCAGTTGAATATTACCCGTTGCCCTGTATATCGCCGGTGTAATTGCTGGGGAAAACCCAACATCAAGTCATTGAATCGCCAAGCCATTCCATACTTTGAATAGCGCTGGTCGCTCGAAAAAGCACCTGTCAGATTCGCCCAGCGCATACTGGCGTTATTGCGGGTCCTCTAATGTAATCTTGACTACCGCACGCTGAGACAGACATGTGCGTGACCATGTTCTCTTGCATCGCTACCTGGAGGCGAAAGTGGCCAAACTCCCAAGGAATGGATGTATTCATACTGTTTTTGTTGTCTTCGCGATGCTGCGAGAGGTGCTCGTGTTTGTGTTGCTCGCCACGCGTCAAGGATAAGGGCTTGCGTTGTTCTTGTCGCATTCGGTGCGTCCTGCTCCCTTTGTCCTTGCCCCTTGGTTCCCACACTCAGCAGTCATGCCCGCTTTATAGATGGGCCAAGATTGAGGACAACTTGCCGCTGAAATGGACACCATGTTTGCTACAATTGTGGTGCCCGCCCCGCGGAATGTAGAAATACTAAGGGGTCGGTTGTTATTGACCCCTCGCCGCTTCAAGGGGAACTCACTTTGTAGCCATGAGTGTCCTTCAAGCGGGGATGACTGCTGTGCACTCTTCCACACACATGCCCCACGTCCACATTTTGGTTGATTGTGTCCTTCAAGCGGGATGACTGCTGTTTCGCATTCCTCCACGCTTTGCTCCACCTCCACGTTGGCGTTAATTGTTATTTGTTTGGCAGGAACAAGAGGAAAACAGAAAACGATTGGATGAAAACTTTAACGGAACAACGGGACTGGCGAAAAGCCTCAGAGTCGACCTCAGCCAGGGGCTAGCTACGGGACAGGTAGACCGGACACGCGCGCATGCTCTCTTCAGTGCCCTCTCGTTTTTTTGTGGCCGCTTGGTTTTGTCTTTCGTTGCTCCACAGCGAAGAACGTTGCAGCTGCAGCTCGGGCTTTGGAAAGGATTTTTTGTACGTACGCTCGTTGTCCGCCTTGGTTCAATTGATCCATGGAGACCTAAATTTCGGTTTTCCTGTTATTTAGGTGAACACGTTGGATACAGCATGCAATCGGGGAAGTTGGGTCAGGGATAGGGTCTGCACACCCCTCCTTGTTGTATTTCCTCACAAAACGTAGTTTCTCGCGAAGGCGGTTCTTCCCGAGTCATGAGTTTTCCCATGGAACAAGCGCCTCGTCTGATGTCTGGACATGGCTGCCGTGTAGGTGGAACTCCTGCGGGAGGCGTACGGGGCAAACGCTTTTCCGGAGATCCCGATGAAGGGTTTCTGCATGCTATTCGCTGAGGCGTTCAACGACACCATTCTTCTCGTGCTGATCGCGGCCGCCATCGTGTCGCTTATCATCGGGCTCATTGATCACCCCGACATCGTGAGTAACAAACCTGTTGTTGATGTTGTTGTTTGTGGTTGTCGGTTGTTGCTGTTGACATGGTCTATGATCCTGTCGTTGGTGGTCCTGCTGCATTCTTGTTGGTTGTCACGGCTTCTGTGTTTTTTCTTAAGTTGGTGGTGCTGCGTTGCTGTTATTAATGATTCATGTTTTCGGTGACGTAATTATGAAGTGCGATGCAGCATAATGTGCTTTGAGCCTTGGCTACCGCGATGCGTTACACCCTCGAACCAAACCTTTTGCTGGCACCAACGCACGGAGCACTACCTGCCATCTTTGACCTTCGGGCACGACAACCTCCCCAGCCCCTCGCTCGTGGATGTCGCCGAGCCCGCAGATCAAAGATGGCAGTGTCGGATGGGGTGGTGCTAGTCAGGCTTGCTTGGTGGGCGTAACGCATGACAGCGGACAAGCACATGATTCTGCATGGCAATGTCGCTTCTTCGTAGGCTTTTAAATTGAAGAGCTGAAAGTACGGCAGTATGGTGCATCGTCGTTGGGCCCTTCGTTTCAGCCGTTTATTCATCGAAGTACGTACGTAGAAGAGAGGGCCACCGTGTGAAGTCATTTTGTGCTGTGTCTTCACAGCACCCGTCTAGATCAAGGCGAAAGTGGCATATGGCATGTCCACGTGTTGGCGACACACGGTCCTCCGTGTCCCCCACGACCCGCTGTGCATCACGCCTCCTTTTCGCGTTGTCTGGGAACTAGGGATGGATCGATGGAGTCGCGATTCTCATGGCCGTGCTTATCGTGGCCCTGGTGACGGCTGGCAACGACTATAGCAAGGAGCTGCAGTTCCGTGCCTTGGAGAAGACTTCGGAGGAGGGTATTCGGGTCATGGTGCTGAGGGATGGTACTTCGCAGCTGGTGAGACTACGAGCGCGCGCGGGGGGGG